GGGGGGGGGGTTGGCGGAGAGGGGGGCGCATTGAGGAACATGGCCTTGGGGCAGCAGAGAGAGAAAATCCGGCCCTGATCACAGCCAGGCAACTAGAATGTTCATTAGAAGGTCAGCAATTTCTCACAGGATAGTCTCCTTTAAAGGAGAACTATGGGGTCAGTGTTTTTCCCCATAGTTCTCCTTGGGGTAACGGGAGGACACAAACTAGCGTCCTCCCGTTACCCTAAGCTCAGTATACCGCGAGCTACAGCTCGCGGTATACTGAGACGTCGCACCTGGAGCGGATCCCGACTTAGATGACGGGATCCGCCCAGCTGCGTGAGTGACAGCTGGCTCTGCCTATCTAGAGGCAGAGCCAGCTGTACCCGCCCCCTCCCCCGTCCGTTCCGCCAGTCAGCGCTGGCGGATCGGAGCGGGGAGAGGGGAATCCAGCCCCTCCCCATCACGGCAGAGAGCTGTGACAGGATCGGAGGTGAGCGAACGCCGGTATGTGTTCGCTCACCTCCCGATCTACTGAGCCGACCTGTGACAGTCTCATTGTCACAGGTCGGCTTAGAACTATGAGGTGAGTGGAAATCAGTCATGTCATAGTTCTCCTTGAAGGTACCTACAAATAGGGGTGAAGGATGATTAGTTAAAGGATTCTGATTAGTTTGGTCAAATTGTTAGTTTAAAGCGTAGCTCCAACCAATTTTTTGGGGGGCTTTAACTAAGTATTTCTGTGACTGTGTTAGTTTTATATCTTTTATGTTATTTATGATCAAAGTCTCACATTCCTTCTCCAGACCGATGTTGGGCTGGCAAGGATCATACCATGTCCAGTTGGGTTATCCTTCTGCTCCTAAGTCTTTTTTAATCATGGTTTCTCCCATTATGTTGGTGGCTTGGCTGTTACACAAACAGTAACAATGCTGTCCTCCAGGGTACACACTGCCTCAGTCGTCTAGCAATTGGATTGTATTTGGTGTGCACTTATGTACGGTCCTCTGGAGGTGCCTCACGTGAGTCTGGCCCTTGCATCTTATTATGGTTTTAAGGAGGGAAAAGGTTAGCCTTGGGCTACATGGGCATTCTGGAAGACTAAAAGATCCACCTCATAACTCTAAAATAGTTTTTCGTGCTACTGCAGGAGTTCATTGGGAGATTGTTGGGAGACAAGGTTCATGAGATACATATCACAGGGGTGTACATGGGAAAAAATCACCCAAGAAAGTTCTAAGTGGGCAAAGGAAGATTGGGCTGGAAATGTTGAACTGTTGGATGGACTACCTGCCCCCTGTTCAGACCTGTAACCACAGGGAGGGAGAGGGAAGTCTTTCAGCACTTCATTGGCTCTGATATGTCATGTGACCGAATGCCAAGATCTTCAGTGGAAGCTGATTCTAGAAGATTTGAAGGTGTGCCACAGTAAAACAAGTCCTTTAGGATCACCTTACTTTACTATGGCCACCAGTTAAGTGGCACCATGGCACCTTGGCATTGAAATCGGCTAGGCCTTGTTTTCTGGGAAGCATGCCCTAAGCCTATACATTACTTTACACCAGTGGTTCTCAACCTGTGTAACCTCAGGACCCACATTTGTCCTTGGTCATTAAGTCGTGACCCGAGTTGCACTGCAATGGAAAGCATGGCATTGCGGTACTGCGCGTTCTGATGTGAGCAATAGAACTGTGGGTGGGAGATGCATTTAGGGTGCCATTTAAATGGTTGGCAATGTAATGCACCGCTCACACCAGAACGCGCGGTAGGTGCAATTGCGTGGTACAGTACGTTAATGGCACGGGACTGTGCAATTAACGCACTGTACTAGTGTGAATGGGCCCTCAAAAACACTGACAGACACACAACCACAGACACATTCTCACACACTCACAGACATTCTCACACACTCACAGACATTCTCACACACACATATGCACTCCCCAAAAAAATTTAATTTAAAAAAAAATTCACCCAGTCTCCCTATCTTACGGAAACTGGAATGGATCCTCAGCCTGAGGTCCAGTGTGGACTGCTGTGCTGGAGTTCCATCCATATGTGCATTGCTTGTGCAGCTCCCTTGCACATCCTGTAGAGGTGACAGGAGCCAGAATGTGACATCACTCGGGTCCCGACACCTCAACAGGGCATGCAAGGGAGCTGTAAGCAATGCACATATGGATGGAGCTCCATCGCGGCCATAGCTCCAGCCCACCCCACCTCAAGCTGACACTCAGTATCAGGCAGCATATTTTGAATAGCTGCTTAGTTCGAGAACTGACAGTGCTGTGCTAGGGGAAGGCTGAGGAGCCTCCTACCTAGAAAAGTGGAAGGCACGCGGCGACCCACTGATCACGAGGTCGCGTTTCACCTTTGGGTCACGACCCACCAGTTGAGAACCAAGGCTTTACATATTCCAGTGCAGGTTCTCCTTTAGACTGGAGTTGGGACCACTCTGTGCAGAGGTGTCTCAGCATTGGCAAGCTACTTTCCCATTCAATTGCAAAGTACCCATATGGAGACCTCTGTTTTTATTAACAAAATATCAGAGGCAGATATGTGAAAGTTGTACAACTGCAGTAAGTCTAATTTTTTTTTTCATTTATAGTTGCATATGAGGAGCTCCTGGATGACAGAAAGCTGGAAGGTCTGATTTAGTGGATGTCTGTAGAGTCATCATTTTCTGCACAAACCTCTCACCACCATCATAACATAAGCTTCACCTGTGCCATACCATTGTTCATTGTTATACCTGACCAGGGGGCCACCACTTTGTTCATTACCCATCATAAAACTCCGCCTCCCAGGTTCGTGCTCCAGGTCACCTCTTTCCATTTCATGGTCCACTACAGGATATCACTGGGTGAGTGACTTGTCTTTGCTCTCTTCCAGTTGCCCAGACAACAGACCCATCCCACCAGATGGAAGGTGGGAACATTGCGCTAGCCATTTTCCTGCCCATTATATTGGTCATCCTTCTGATTGGTGGAATATACATCTATTATACCAAGTGAGTGCACTCCCGGTGGGATCGGCAACACTGATGCAGAAAGCTGCAGCTGGTTGAATGTATTCAGACAGGAGGGAACTGACAAGGCGGGCAGATTTATTCATAGAGATGGGCACTTGGCCCTTACCAGTGATCATTTAAATAGTGTAGCTGCAAATTTTACTCCTAGCCAATAAATCCCCAAAACTAATACACCCGAACACTTAGCACTGCCCTACTTGAACACTTAGGGGCTGGTTTATAAATCCCCCCCGCCCCCCAGCATTTAGCTGGGCCAATGCCTATATAACAGTACTACTGCCACTAGATGGCACTAAGGAGGATTTTTCTATGCAGGCTTGGGCTATGGGGCTTTTCTATACAGCCCCATCTAGTGGCAGTAGTGCCTTGTGAAGGGCATTCACCCAGCTATACACTGGATAGATAATTTGTAAATAAGGCCATTAGAATAGAATTAAGCTCTCACAAATGAAAACCTAGTTTGGTAGGAAATGAAGAAAGTAACGGGAGTAGCTGGAACACACAAAGATAGGTGGGAACATGCAAAACTCCCAGGAACAGAGCCAGATATTATGGCAGGGAGGTGTTTCCAAGATATAAGAAGCCAGTGGCTGACTCCACAGGTAAATATTACTGTTGGTGGTTGCTTTATTAAGCTGGCACTCGTATGATCTTAGCCAACTGAACATCTCTTTGTGCTTCCCTCCTCAGGTTTCAAGGAAAGTCTCTTTTTGGATTCTCCTTCCCAGCTTCCCATTCATACAGCCCCATCACCGTGGAGTCCGATTTCAACAACCCATTATATGAGGCTGGGGTAAGTGCGATGACCTGCCACTTGCATCCAGGGCCTGATTTCCCACAAGGCTAACCAAGGCCTGGCCTTGGGGCAGCAGGGAGTAGGGGGGCAGCTGGGGTGTGGAATTCCTATCTCCCGATACTTGCATCATGGGGATGTGAGTGCTGCCTTGAACATGTAATGGTCCTTTAAAGCATCCCAGATTGGAAATAGACCTTAGAGCTACCTCAGGAAACATTGGAGTGGTTGTATCTTCCAGCTGTCCAGGGAACCCCATGGAAGACGGGAGCAAACCCTGACATCCAAGGCACTTGTCCTGGGTTTTATACAAGGTGCCCCAGGATTTCTTTGCAGTGCCCTGGGTTTTCTACAAGTCTTCTACTGAGTATGACGGTTCTTTTTCTGAGTGCCCTGGTTGCTCTGATTGGTTTTCCTGTTATTTTACTCCGTGTCTAGGTCTTCCACTGAGAGCTTTTTTAGAGTGCCCCTAGTCTTCTACTAAGTGCGATTAATAGGAAAGCTGAGGCTCCAAGACCCGAATGGCATTCAAGATCCGAATTTCCGAATGTCATTTGGGAGGTCCCGAATGCCATTGGGGTCTGTGATCCATATACTACTAAAGCTGAGGCTCCCAGACCCCAATGGCAATTGGGACCTCACTAAAGCAATTCGGAACTTCGGATCCCGAATGCCATTGGGGTCTGGGAGCCTCAGCTTTAGTATTATATGTATACTGTATACGGCTCCCATGTTGCCGTAACGAACATTCGTGTTCAGACCCATTTGGATGCATTAAACCGAAAAACACATCCGATTGGTCAGAAAAGTCACATGTCCCATTCAGTTTAGTTTTTGAAAGAAAATCGGGCGTGATCCGAAATTCGGAAATGGAAATTCGATTTCCGACACATTTGAATGCATTGGGTTCCGGAAATTCGGATGTGTCAGAATTTCGGAAAGTTCCTACGAATTTTGACTCAGAATGAAACGAATCGCACATGTCTAATATAAATTAAGATTTCAACAAACACCAGCATGCCGAACTTTAAAGGTGCCGGTACAGTCTGACATACTGGTGCTTGTGGAAATCTTATATAAATATTACGGATGTGGTACCTTAAAGGAGAACTATGGGGTCAGGGCTTTTCCCCATAGTTCTCCTTAGGGTAACGGGAGGACACAAACTAGCGTCCTCCCGTCACCCTAGGCTCAGTATATAGGGGGCTGTAGCTCGCAGTATACTGAGACGCCGCAGCTGAAATGGATCCCGACAATTGTGCCGGGATCCGCCCAGCTGCGTGAGTGACAGCTGGCTCTGCCTATCTAGAGGCAGAGCCAGCTGTACCCGCCCCCTCCCCCGTCTGTTCCGCCAGTCAGCGCTGGAGGATCGGAGCGGGGAGGGGGGAATCCAGTCCCTCCCCTGTCACGGCTCTCTGCAGTGACAGGATGGAGAAGTGAGCGAGCGCTGGTATGTGTTCGCTCACTTCCCAATCTACTGAGCCGACCTGTGACAGTCTCATTGTCTCAGGTCGGCTCAGATTATGAGGCTGAGTGAAAATCACTCCCCTCATAATTCTCCTTTAACCCACCAATCTATTATATGTATATAAATTAGCATCACAGTGAAGGTCCTTGGCCCACATACCCTAACCTGCTTTTTGTGTCTTCTGTTTCAGGATACCCGGGAATACGAGGTGTCAATTTGAAGATGAACTATGGGTACAACATGGGGGCGGGTGGGGTTATACATGAGGGATATTCCAGATTATACACAGACTGAGGGTCTCAATTTACAGATCGCAATCACAAGCTGCACAGTCCCTCACCGTGCGATCGTCTGTCATGTGACCTTTCACCATCAGCCACAGAGTTCTAAACACCTGCCCTTCTCCTCAAAAGGAGCCACCGTCTTGGTCAAGACCACTATTGGCTCCGGCTCCTTGAAATAGCACAGGAAGCTCTTCTGACCAATTGTAAAAAAAACAAAATAAACAAAAAAAAACAAATTCGAGTGCGGAAATCAATAGCTCACCAGGACAAAACGTACTTTTTGTTGTGCTGGGCGCTGATTTCTAAGAAAACTGGCCTTTCGCGGGCCGTGTCTTTATCGCTTGTGCTCACCGCTTTTTCTGTAACCCGCCGTGCTTTACGGCAACGTGATGGAAACCCCTATGTGAAGAAACCATTGTGCTTGTGTTCCAAATTTTTTGTAAGTGCCAAAATTAGTCTTTTATTTTCATTTAATATTTGGAAGCACAACCCCTGTGTTGGGGGAAGTGTGCGTGCGTTTGGGCTTTTTAAATCTTTCAATTATGTTTATGGAAAAAAAAAAAGTGTTGTGAAAACTTAAAAAATAATAATAATCAGGGAGTTATTTGACCTGTATATATAGATAAGAGTTCACTCTTGGTCTACTAGAAACATGGCTGCCCTTGGCCTGCTCCAAACATGCTTGTTGGTGTCGCGTCTGTTTAAAACTCTGTGCCTTCACCCTACGATCTTCTCCATCTTTCATCATGTGACCTTCCATCCTTGTCAATGTCATTTGTGCCAAAGTAATACTGCGATGTCTGTGCTCCAGAGGGAGCTACTCGAAAACCATAAAGCCATTCAAAATCCTCCAGCGCCCAAGTCCGTTGGCCGGCCCCATTACCACACACGGTGTTGCTCTTTTCACTGTTCCTCTGCCAGAATGGGTCAGAGATTACCGCTCAGCTGTACAGCCCGCATCACAATTCTGTTTTGTTTTTTCTTTTCATTGGTTTATTTCACTTTGTCCAAGAGATTCAAACATGACCGCCAAAACCGCGCTGACGAGTGTCTGAAGAACGGGGCATGTTTGAATCTCCCGCGTCGTCTGTCTTCATCACCTTTGCTTCTCGAACTTGCTTTATTTTCAGGCAATAAAGAGCGAGATTTGTAAAACGCGGCCTCCTGTTTTATGTGCGTCTGCGCTCGATGAGAAAAGAACGATACGCCCACCCCATATGCCAAAAGGTGTGGTACCCATACTTGGTGTTAACATAAAGCCTTGCTCAATAATATTGGGATTATAGCTATATCTAAAACTGTTACATTCTTTTTAAAATATACCGTATTTTTCGCTCCATAAGACGCACTCCCCCCCCCCCCCCCCCCCCCCCAAAAGGCGGGCAAAAATGTCTGTGCGTCTTATGGAGCGAATGTGTGAGAGCTGAGGGAATACCTATCGCCCGTCGAGTAGTTTTTTTTTGTACATTTAGCCCTGCTCCTGACAAGTATAGTGTGGAGCCGCTGCTCGTTTTCATACAAGTGATCTGATTAGATCACTTGTATGAAAGGAGAAGTGGCGATCCTGTGTAGCCCCCCCCCAGCCACAGTTTTCAGGGTCCCCCGCTCCTCTGGGGGACCCGTGACCACAGCATAGGCGCTCACCATAGAGCAGACAAAGAACGTCCATTCTTCGTGTGATCGTTGAGACCGCGCCACCTATCTCAGCTGTCAGGAACTACCCCGCGTCTTATGGTCAGGCGCATGTTATGGAGAGAAAAATACGGTAATTTAAAGCAGAACTCTTAAAATCCCTTCTAAAATTAAATTCCCCCAAGGACAAATATTTTTCACTCTCGCTTATTTTTGTCACCGCATCAAACTTTAAAGGCCCCAGATGTCATTGCTACCAACACAACATAGGAGTATCCAGGGCATTGGTAGGGGGCATCATTGAGGTTCCCAGCTTCACAACCAATGCCTTCTAGGCACTTCTGTGAACTACAAGCCCCATAATGCTTTGGGGTATTAGTGATGGCAGCAGGCAAGGTTGTGGATGGGGGACAGATTTGTGAACAGGAGGTCATTTGCAAGCATGGGCAGAACAGATAGGGACGGTGAAGAGCTGTCAGTCAACTGATGCAACATGGATGGGCAGGGCAGACCAGGAGTCTGAGCAGCCCGGGACTACCCACTGCAAGCAGCACTGTTGCAATTACTGCCAACTGGAACAAACTACACAGGGGCAGTTACGCAATGGGTTGCCCCACTCATGGGGGAAAGCAGAACAGCCCTGGTCTTACAAATGGCATAATAGGGCAGTAAGCCCTGGTACAGGCTGCTTGACTACAAAAGGCTATGCTCAGGCATGGTCTGCCATGGTCACCATCAGGAAACTGGTCCAGAGCAATGATGTGCAGCCAATACTGGAGAGAGGGCATGTAGACAAGAAATGGCTAAAAGAGGCTGGCGGAGATTAGCAGCACTGAAAAGCATAAAAGTTGAAAAAACAAATATTTTTAAAAAAATGGCAATTGCTCATCATACACAGTGCCCTATCAAACTAAGTATCGTCCATTTCAAACTAAGTATCGTCCATTTCAAGTTGATATCTACTTTTAACCCTTTCGCTGCCAAGCCCTCCGGAACATTTTTCAAATCAGCTGGCCAAGCCATTTTTTAATTTTCTGCAATTTTTTCCTATTGATTTGATTTTCAACTGCTGCGTTGTTAGCGTTTGTAAAAGACCCCCCAAACCATATATTTTCTGAAAGCGCAGGTCCGGTAGGATAAAAAGATGGTGATACTAAATTTGTAGGCCGTGCGATAATTGCGCAAATGTTTCTCAAATTAATATTAAACCGATAAAAATACACAATTCAATTGTTAAAACACACCAAAATACAAGTCCATTCAGCCAATTAGAATCCATCTTGTGACATATATGGTAGAGACATTTCTAATTGGTTACTTTTGGTCACTGCTCTTAGAAATAAGAATTTAAGGTGTTAGTGCCGGACAAGGAAGGGACTCCCAATTCAATTCCTCTGAAGTCTAGCACGGCCTCTAGCACCAGCTATAATCAGGGCTGTCCAACTGGTGTGCCCATGGGCTGCATGCGGCCTGTGAGGTGGTCCGCATAGACCCGGCTACACAGTACCCAACAGAGTGGCCGCAGGGTGCCGAGTGCTGGAGTGAAGATCTATTGAATGTCAGAACTGAAAGCGAGGGAAGAGCCAATATTTTGCACAAATCATCAAAAACAGGAAAAGACGGAAATCTTCCCATGAGGACACTTGTTCTGGTGTCAACCGCTTAAAGCATTGGCATTAGATCTACTTTAAATCAACATGTATTGGCCTACACGAACAGTGCCAGGAGGAGCGCACAGTATCCACAGCAACCAATCAGAATCCTCCTTGAGCTAGTCTGGCTTCAGTAAAGTGAAAGAGTGGTTACTACAACTTGTGGCATGGGTGGGCTCAGGTGGTCAGAACATTCTTAAAATTCCAGCTGAAGCCATTAAAAAAAAAGGATGTCTTTTATTTGCCACTTTATGTGGAAATACATTAAAAACTGCAAAACGGCTCTCGTCAGAGTCAGCGAGCGATCTACGGCTTCCATGGGTAGGAAATGGGGCAATTCTGAGCAGAGATCATTGGAGAAACAACATTCCTTTTTTGTTTTTTTTACTCTGAATTTGTACTCTGAATTGCCCCCCTGCTTATGGATTTATGGGAATGGGGCTCCTTTCTTGTTTCCCCACCGGAGAGTGAACAACGGCCGGCCGGATAGGCTGTAAGACCTTCTGGGAGTCGACGTGTCCTGCGGCCATTTGGTCGAGAAGTTCATCCACCTGCAAAAAGGAAAAAAAAGTCACAACCACATTCATCAACCTAAAGATCTCATTGTCCTGAATATTTTATAATTGTATTCCATAGATGTGTACTTTGGCACTTTTACCCTTTTTGCATACTCCGGATCTTCTTGTGGTTGGAATTTTCCAGACTTGTTACGATGGCGAGATGTGCTGCAGGCAGAAAAGTCACATGACAAAGTGCTGGGGCCTCAGACGATTGGGAAAGACATTTATATCTGGTTAGTATATCTTACCCCATAGAGGTAGACTGGCCGGTGCTCGGACACGATCCATCTGCAAAACAATTAATTTCATAATATGTTTAATGAGACTTTCTACAGATACTCTGCTGCTGTTCATCGCCCAAACCCTCCAGGAGCTGCTATTAAATGTATTGTCTTATTTGCAGCCTCATGTGAAATGTTCTACAGATGGCTTTTCACTGTCAAGTAGTTTTCCTCCATTGCCCTAAGCCAGGACACAGGTCTGCTGGGCCATCTGCAGAGGATTCTGTTGTGTAACCCCCAATGCTAACCCTCCCTGAAACTCAGACCTTAAAAACCTTCCCTGTAACCTCAAGCAGAATACTAACCCACAAACTAACTCCAACCAGAATACTAACCCCTACATTTACCCTTCTTGTATCCCTCCCACTACTGCTCCCTAAAACTCAGACCCTAAACACCAACCCTCACTGTAACCCTAATCAGAATACTAACACTAACCTTCCCTGTAACCCAAACTAGAACACTGACCCACAAACTAACCCCAACTAGAACACTGACCCACAAACTAACCCCAACTAGAACACTGACCCCCAACTAGAACACTGACCCCCAAACTAACCCCAACTAGAACACTGACCCACAAACCAACCCCAACTAGAACAGTAACCCCCAAACTAACCCCAACCAGAACACTGACCCACAAACTAACCCCAACTAGAACACTGACCCCCAAACTAACCCCAACTAGAATACTAACCTCTACATTTACCCTTCCTCTATCCCTCACACTACTGCTCCCTAAAACTCAGACCCTAAACACCAACCCTCCCTGTAACCCCAATCAGAATACTAACACTAATCTTTCCTGTAACCCTAACACTTATCCTATAACCTTAACACTAACCCTCCCTGTAACCCCAACTAGAACACTAACCCAAAAATTAACTGCAGCCAAAATACTAATCCCCACACTTACCCTCCCTGTAATCCTTACACTAACCCTCCCTAAAACTAAGATCTTAGGATTGTTGTCTGCCATGATGTGAGTCACTGCAAAGACTATTGAGAACTGAATTCCTTGGTCACCACACCAGTGGCGTCACAAGGTAGGGTGCGGCCCACACCCGGGTGACACCATTGCAGGGAGATCAGGAAATCACCAGCACTCAGTAATAAAGATAAATATGTCCCTTTTATTGGACAAGAAGCATCACAGACATCCAAATAAACCATTGCAGGGGTGACATGAAAATGAGTCATTTTGGTGTCACCCCCCCTCTAAAAAGTCGGGGCACTCAGTCATGGACCGAGAACCCGACAGTGTCAGGAGAGAGGAAGGGACCCGGTGGCATACCTCATCCCGCCGAGTGAACGTCGCCTCCTCTCTCTGCCGTCGTCCACCACCAAGATGGCCGCCGGCAGGCGTCAATCAGATGGCCACGCACACGCGATGGCACAGCGGGGTGTCACCCAGTCTGTAGACTGGGTGACACCCGGCCTCGGGATGCCCCTGCACCACACCAACAGGAAGAGGAAATCCTCCTTTCACTTGGGCCAGGAGTTGAAGCTTTCAGTAGAATATTTTCTTTGCATGCTGATCCCTAGATTGCCCTGACTTGCTCCTGAATGCTATCATCATTTCCCGACCCCTTCTATTATCTTCATAAGCATCTATGACACATACCTTGAATAATGGACTTTTGCTGCAGCCGGGATTCCTTCTCCTGATTTCTAATGAAAACAATTGCGGAAATCATTCAGTCTATATAAATCGCAGCCGTACAGGAATGTAGTTTATACCCTCCGGATAGTATAACTGACCTCTCCATGCAGTCACTACATATGAGGTTGTCCTGAAGCCCGGGCGGAGTGGAGACAGAGGAAGGAGTCAGGTGGAGAGGGGTATAGGAGCCACGACCGGTAAGGCAGACCCGGCCACAGCGCAGGGTTAGGGGAAACCAGTGGTTGTAGGTCAGCTGCTGCCCATGCACCACACACCAGCCTCGTCCTCCTGCAGAACAGAACATCAGCAATCATTGGCCACACCTTCACTGTTCAGTAAATCATAATGAAGAAACACTTTACATACCAGAGAAGGACGGTGCCGGGAAGATCACAACGCAATATGGATTACCAGAGAGGCAAGCACTGCACTTCTATACCCACACCTTCTTGTGGCATCAGGAGTAGGCCGCCGGGGGACTCTCAGCAGTGATACTTCATACATGCCACACATTTATACTTGGGTCCTTTCCTTTATGGAATACCGACCTGATGCTTGCAGATCAAAAATAAGGGAAGATCACACACTATGTCCTATAAAAACTCTATGCCTGGATCTGCACTTCAGGTCCACTTGGCTGGCTTTTGCATGGACTGGCCCTGGAGTAGGTGTTCTATCATATACAGTACAGGCATGCATGTCCTGGGCGTCGGGAGATAGGAATTCCACACCCCTGCTGCCCCTCTACTCCCTGCTGCCCCTCTACTCCCTGCTGCCCCTCTACTCCCTGCTGCCCCGCGGCCGGGCCTTGGTTGGCCTTGTGGAAAATCCGGCCCTAATCATATACCAATGTTTACAGGAATTAGGGCTTCCGGCACGATGTGTTGCCCATATACACGCAGCATTCTTGCCATGGGGATTACAAACCTGCGTACGTATCTGGGAAATTGGGTACAACAGCACTGGGTATGGTGCAATAAAAAAAAAATGCAATGGGCTGAAAAGGGATCATGGGAGGAGGACTTTTAAAAAGGAATCTGTCAGGTTAATATGGAGCGGACATTAACATTTTAAAGTACATGTTCCAGGGCTGATATCCTCAGCATGCACCTCAACAAGCCAGCGATGACGGCCTCCACGCTGCTTTCCTGACAGGTACCCTTAAAAGAAAACCCTAAGGCACCAACACCTCTGCTGGTGGGGTTCATTTGCTATGTATAGGGTCAGTGCAGGAAGAAGGTCTTACCTGGAGGCTCTGGATGGTTTTTAGCATCCTGTGGTGGAGGTGGAGGAGGTGGAGGAGAAGGTGGAGGAGAAGGGGTCCGAGGAGACTTCTGTCAGAGAAAACATGTCATCAATATTACAAGAGGAACAGATCTGGAGAAGTGGGGTGAATGGGCTCATGGCAGATGGCACATTCACAAAGTGTCAGTTACACCCAGATGAGCAGAATGGACCCCTATCTACACAAAGGGTACAACTGGTACAATGCGCAGGACTTAGAGGCCTAGAAAGGCGGCGTTACCAAGGCAGCGGTGGAAGTGGTATGTATGACAAAGGTGGGTATAGCATATCCGAGCACATGACACAGAGGAGAACACTGCAGTTGTCAAAGGCAACTAGGTAGGTGCCGCAACTCAGAGGTGGTCATTTGTGGATGAGGACCACTTTTGGATTGTTGCTCTGATTCGGAGGGTCCCAGAACAAGGATATACCAACACCTGAAGGTCCCAGAACAAGGATATACCAACACCTGAAGGTCCCAGAACAAGGATATACCAACACCTGAAGGTCCCAGAACAAGGCACACCAATACTTGGAAGGTCCCAGAACAAGGCTCCCCAATACTTGGGTTTCCAGACCAAGGACACACCTTGACACTTGGAGGGTCTCAGAACAAGAGGGTCTCAGAACAAGACACATCAACAAGACACATCAACAAGACACATCAACAAGACACATCAACAAGACACATCAACAAGACACATCAACAAGACACATCAACAAGACACATGGAGGGTCCGACAACAAGATACAGGGACACTTTGGTGGCCCCACAGCAAGACAGACACCTGGAGGATCCCACATGAAGAAACATGGACACAGGGACCAAGAACAAGACACGACAACACTTGGAAGCTTCCAGAACAAGGACACACCTTGACACTTGGGGGGTCTCAGAACAAGGACACACCGATACCTGGGGGGTCTCAGAACCAGGACACACCGATACCTGGGGGGTCTCAGAACCAGGACACACCGATACCTGGGGGGTCTCAGAACCAGGACACACCGATACCTGGGGGGTCTCAGAACCAGGACACACCGATACCTGGGGGGTCTCAGAACCAGGACACACCAACACTTGGCAAGTCCTAGAACAAGGACAGACACTTGAAGGGTCCCCCAACACAGACTTACAGGTGGCAAGGCATCAGACAATGGAACCCCAAAAAAAGTGTTCACAGATACGAGGAGCATCTTTTGGTTGGACTTACTTGGCTGCTGTTGGCGGGTTTCTTGAAGTGGTCCTGCAGCCTCTGGATGAGATCCGTGTTCTGTGGACAGAAAGAGTTAAAGTTCAGCTTTTGGCCTCTTCTATCTCGCAGCCCCACCGAGAAGAAGCCGCCTCACCTTTCCCCCTCCATGCAGTCCCAGCTTCTTGCAGTATTGCTGCAGCTGAGCCCTCTTCATCAGCTCCACGGAGGAAGGGGTTAAATCCAGCATTATCAGGGGGGTGCTTTTTTGTTTTCGGGGCATGGCGGACGTAGCAATGGCTGCAAACACACAGAGCATGGCATAGCAGGTTGAGTTGTATCTGATTGAACTTACTAATCAAAGTGTTTGCCACTGGAACACACAACCAGTTTCACCATCAGCAGCAAACACATTAAAGAGAACCTGTCACCACATTATACTCAGAAAACTAAAGATAGCTTTGTGGCAATTCAAGGGCAAGATGGACACTTCCAGTGTAGGATTCTGCCCTTTCCCCTTCCCCTACAATATGAAGAACACCCTCAAAGTAAAACCAAAGCCAAGACTTTTTTTTAGCTTTGGATAGAGGGTTAAAAGCCCTGTAAACTTTTTTGCCATCAGTGTCCCATTGTTAGATTTCCCTTCACTTCCTGTCTGATAGCCACAACAGGAAGTGAGAGGAAATCCCTCCAAAGAGCAAAAAAAAATCCTAGTTGGTCAGAAGGATCACCAGAACTGGTGTCCCCATGGGAAGGATTTCCCATCTATTGCTGTTCTGGTGAGAACCCAATATTTGGGGTTTGTACTCGCTTTCACAATGGTCGCCAGGGCGAATCTTCCGAACTGGGGCAAAGGCAGCAAGAAAAAAAAAACCTGACAGGGGTCCTAATTCTTCTCCAAAGCAAAACAATGTTTGGCTTCAGTTGCACTTTAAGGTTGCCCAGGGAAACGATTGCATTGCCAACAAGGGCAGCCGGCTTACTATGCAAGGGGTTTGAAGGCTGGCCCATGTTACAGGGTGACAACGTCTGTCTGTATGGATGGATGCATGGATGGATCCATCTATTGATCTCATATCCATCTATAGATCCATCTATTGATCTTATATCCATCTATTGATCTTATATCCATCTATTGATCTCATATTCATCTATAGATCCATCGACCTCACAATAGATCTATCTCTACATACAGATCAATACATTGGTTCATCATTTCACCAACAATCGATCACAGACTCACATGTCTTTCTGCAGCACCCAAATCTTAGCTTCTCTCTATGGAGGGGGAGGGGAGACCGGAGAGACATTTATATCCTCACCTAATTAGCGGCAGCCAATTAGAGTAAACGTGTCTCCAGCTGAGTCGCCCCCCCTCCCCTTCCTGTGATAGTAATATATAGGTGTCTTGCTGACATTAACGCACTATGTGGCCTGAACGGGGGGAAAATAGACTGCAATCTTTCTTGGGGTGCCCATGCCTTGAGCCTAATCAATGCAGATCAGTGTACCTGGTATGAGCCCTAAGATAACTCCATCGGTTGCTATGAGTAACAGCAACTTCCCCCTCTGTCTCTTTTGGGATAATTGTGTTGCCCTTGCGTCACCTGCATTGGGTTGCGTTGCTGAATGCAGGGTCCATGCAATAAGAAGCCGGAATCCATTGTTTCCAATAGGCTCCGTTTCGCGGCAATATGTTGCGCTGGGTGATATTGGTGATAAAAGATGCGCTGTGACGCGCTGTGCTGCATTTAAATGCAGCACGTTCCATTGTCACGCAACGCACACCTACGCAGTATGGTTGCTGTAAACTGGACCTGTTTTACACAATGGATTTCAGCTTGTCGTCCTTTGGCTGGGCCTACGTTCAGTGACAAAGCCTAACAGACGTGACGTGAATGGGGCCTAGGACACACTGCAGGAGACAGTCGGAGTCTGGGGATGAACAACAGGACATAGCCAGGGGTCAGCACCATTATGAATGAATGCTCCCGTTACTACCTGCCGTGAGTAGCAAAGCACCCCAGGTTGTGCACTAGGGGTGGGTTCACCCACGGGCAATCAAAACAAAGTGCACTTATCCTTTAGGCCCCTTTAAGGTGACATCACCTCTCCCTCCCAGTGCGCAGAGGGATAGTGGCTGGACTCAGCCTCGATTTGTTTACATCTTCTGGTGTCCTCCGTTTGTTTACATCCTGTGGTGTCCTCCGTTTGTTTATATCCTGTGGTGTCCTCTGTTTGTTTACATCCTGTAGTGTCCTCCATTTGTTTACATCCTGTGGTGTCCTCCGTTTGTTTATATCCTGTGGTGTCCTCTGTTTGTTTACATCCTGTAGTGTCCTCCATTTGTTTACATCCTGTGGTGTCCTCCATTTGTTTACATCCTGTAGTGTCCTCCATTTGTTTACATCCTGTGGTGTCCTCCATTTGTTTACATCCTGTGGCGGATGTTGCCTTCTCCTGGCCATACCTGTGCAGTACATCCCCTTGACATGAATCGGGCTCATCTCCCAGCCAGAAGATGGAGGTAAATAAACCCCATAGAAGTCAATGGGGATGTACTGCACCGTTGTGGCCACGATAAGGAGACATCAACCACAGGATGTAAACAAAGGGAGAATGTCACAGGATGTAAACAAATGCAAAGCCGGGCCCGTTGGAATGCAATAAGCATTCATCTGTGCACTGTAGAGCCCTCCGTTTGTTTACATCCTGTGGAGTCCTCCGTTTGTTTACATCCTGTGGCGTCCTCTGTTTCTTAACATCCTGTGGCGGACGTCTCCTTCTCCTGGCTGCTCCTGCGCAGTACATCCCCTTGACTGCAATGGAGCTCGTCTCTAGGCAAGGAGATGGGGGTAGACAAAACCCAATAGAAGTCAATAGGCATGTACTGCGCAGGAGCGGCCAGGAGAACAAGATGTCCGCCGCAGAATATAAACAACCAGCCCACGCCAGGCCCATCAGAACATGGTCACCTCCATACTGGGAAGGAGTGGTGGCGTCATCTTACAGCGGCCCTTTTCGCTCTTCCTCCTGCAGAAGTGTCCAAGGCAGCTGCCTTTGGGACCTACCCCTCGGCCCAGTCCTGCATGTATACAGAGAGCAGTATAGATAATCCTGGACTGCTCTGGGAGTCATGCCTGTGGCAATATAAGGGGGAAGCTACAATGCCCACCAATAAAAGGAGGGATTCAATGTAACGGAGGTATATACACTGACCACCCATGTAACAGAGGTATATACACTGACCAGCAATGTAACAGAGGTATATACACTGACCACCAATATAACAAAGGTTTACACACTGACCACCCATGTAAACACTGACCACCAATGTAACGGAGGCATATACACTGACCAACAATGTAATGGAGTTATATACACGGATCATTAATGTAACAGAGGTATATACACTGTTGCTATACTCAGTATCCCAAGCAGTGCCCCCAGGTGGCGTACATGTGTAACCACTGGCAAGGTTCATTGTTAATTTTGACCATGGTGCAATATTGGTGGGCGGGGTTTGCGTATGAATTAGCTGTATTTACATATGCATGGGCGGGGATTGATTCATATATAAATCTTATTGACAACCAGGGGTAGACCATTGAGAAGCGGGTCGGTCCCGGCTGGTATGCTATGTCGGGACACACATGGGCAGTATACAGATATTGATGAATTGGTATACATCCTACAGAATCTTTATTGTTGAGGACATCGATAACGCACACGCGCAGACACCGCGTTGCCCAGGCAACGTCCATGACAAACGTAATCACGGCGTCATGGCGGGCGGTGATTGGTGGCCTCCGGCAGGTCGGAGGGGGTGTGCGGGGCCGCTCCGGCAGTGATTGGCTGAGCCCCGGACAGTCGTTTGGTTAACCGTTTGTGTGCTGGTCCGGCGCCCACCCAGCAAGGTAACAGAGAGGAGGAGAGGGGTGTGTGCGGGGTCACCCGGAGGAGGAACATGTCATCACACTCCCACACACTGCACCCGCTGAGGGGTAATACAAGGGGTAGAGCGGGGGAGGGTTGCAAGGTTGTGCATGGCAGGGGGTGCATGTATTGGGGTACAGAGAGAGACTTGGGGTTGTACTGTGACCAACTGTACACCTGAGACCAGTACACCTGGGCAGGTGACACCTCCAGAACACTGTGTATACTGGGGTAACTGGTATGTACACCTGAGACCAGTACACCTGGACACGTGACACCTCCAGAACAGCGTGTATACTGGAGTAACTGGTATGTACACCTGAGACCAGTACATATGGACAGGTGACGCCTCCAGAACAGCGAGTATACTGGGATAACTGGCATGTATACCTGAGACCAGTACATCTGGGCAGGTGACGCCTCAAGAACAGTGAGTATACTGGGATAACTGGCATGTATACCTGAGACCAGTACACCTGGACAGGTGACACCTCCAGAACAGTGAGTATACTGGGGTAACTGGTATGTACACCTAAGACCAGTACACCTGGACAGGTGACACCTCCAGAACAGTGAGTATACTGGGGTAACTGGTATGTACACCTGAGACCAGTACACCTGGACAGGTGACACCTCCAGAACAGTGAGTATACTGGGGTAACTGGTATGTACACCTGAGACCAGTACACCTGGACACGTGACACCTCCAGAACAGCGAGTATACTGGAGTAACTGGTATGTACACCTAAGACCAGTACACCTGGACACGTGACACCTCCAGAACAGCGAGTATACTGGGGTAACTGGTATGTATACCTGAGATCAGTACACCTGGACAGGTGACACCTCCAGAACAGTGAGTATACTGGGGTAACTGGTATGTACACCTGAGACCAGTACACCTGGACACGTGACACCTCCAGAACAGTGTGTATACTGGGGTAACTGGTATGTACACCTGAGACCAGTACACCTGGACACGTGGACACAGAAACCTCTTTCATCTGATGTCTTGGTATAGAGGGGAAGCGCTGATCATGGTGATGTAACCGGAAGGTTCCACTAAACCATTGCAGGGGGTGCACGCAGAATTCAGGAGCCAGTCAGGTCAGTGTATGGTTAAAGTAACCAGGAACGTAAGGCGAGAAGAATGGGAGCGGCTCCCAGCAAGTCTGAGCAGGAGCTGACATGTTTCAGGCGGGGTTGTCATGGGACGCGGCTCGCTCTTTGACACGTCTGCGCTGATGTATGTTGAACTTTTCACTGGTTGCAGCTGATTGGCTGAGTGAGGAACAAGGCCGCGGCACCTCCTGGGGGGGG